TAAATTTATCTTTCACTCCCCAGCATCTTCCTCTAATATGCAGAAGGATTTAAATGCATGTCTTTAAGTGGATGAGACTTTAGAGCAATTCCAAAGGGAGCCCAGGTGAATGGACTGAGTCTCCCATCAGTTCTGTGGTTCTCTGCAGGAGGCCATGGAGAGGCCCTACATGGCTGTCGCACATTATTGATACCACAGTACATCACTCAGTGGAAAACAGACCAGGAGTAACACTACAGCCTTCTTGTGTTACTGATAAGATGCTTGGATCCTTTGCACAGCATTCACTCCTGTCTGTCTATCTAGTAGAGATCATGCCTGGTTGCCTGTTCTGTATAGTCTTTTTTATTTTATTTTATTTTGTTTTGTTTTGTTTTGTTATCATTAATCTACAATTACATGAAGAACATTATGTTTACTAGGCTCCCCCCTTCACCATGTACCCCCGACAAACCCCATTACAGTCACTGTCCATCAGCGTACTAAGATGCTGTAGAATCACTACTTGTCTTCTCTGTGTTGCACAGCTCTCCCTGTGTCCCCCCCATACTATACATGCTTATTGTAATGCCTCCTTTCTTTTTTCCCACCCTTATCCCTCCCTTCATGCCTATCCTCCCCAGTCCCTTTCCCTTTGGTAACTGTTAGTCCATTCTTGGGTTCTGTGATTCTGCTGCTGTTTAGTTCCTTCAGTTTTTCTTTGTTCTTATACTCCACATATGAGTGAAATCATTTGGTACTTGTCTTTCTCCACTTGGCTTATTTCACTGAGCATAATACCCTCTAGCTTCATCCATGTTGTTGCAAATGGTAGGATTTGTTTTNCTGTCTTTTTCAAACTGGGCTGCTGCATTCTTAGGGTAAATTCCTAGAAGTGGAATTCCTGGGTCAAATGGTAAGTCTATTTTGAGCTTTTTGAGGAACCTCCATACTGCTTTCCACAATGGTTGAACTAATTTACATTCCCACCAGCAGTGTAGGAGGGTTCCCCTTTCTCCACAACCTCGCCAGCATTTGTTGTTGTTTGTCTTTTGGATGGTGGCAATCCTTACTGGTGTGAGGTGATATCTCATTGTGGTTTTAATTTGCATTTCTCTGATGACTAGCGATGTGGAGCATCTTTTCATGTGTCTGCTGGCCATCTGAATTTATTCTTTGGAGAACTGTTCAGCTCCTCTGCCCATTTTTTAATTGGATTGTTTGCTTTTTGTTTGTTGAGGTGCGTGAGCTCTTTATATATTTTGGATGTCAATCCTTCATCAGATCTGTCATTTATGAATATATTCTCCCATACTATAGGATACCTTGATGGTGTCCTTTGCTGTACAGAAGCTTTTCAGCTTGATATAGTCCCACTTGTTCATTTTTGCTTTTGTTTCCCTTGCCTGGGGAGATATGTTCATGAAAAAGTCGCTCATGTTTATGTCCAAGAGATTTTTGCCTATGTTTTTTTCTAAGAGTTTTATGGTTTCATGACTTATATTCAGATCATAGATCCATTTTGAATTTACTTTTGTGTATGGGGTTAGACAGTGATCCAGTTTCATCTCTTACATGTAGCTGTCCAGTTATGCCAGCACCATCTGTTGAAGAGACTGTCATTTCCCCATTGTATGTCCATGGCTCCTTTATCGTATATTAATTGACCATATATGTTTCGGTTAATGTCTGGAGTCTCTATTCTGTTCCACTGGTCTGTGGCTCTGTTCTTGTGCCAGTACCAAACTGTCTTCATTACTGTGGCTTTGTAGTAGAGCTTGAAGTTGGGGAGTGAGATCCCCCCCACTTTTTTCTTCCTCCTCAGGATTGCTTTGGCTATCTGTGTACTCTTTTGTGTAGTATAAATATTCCTTGGCTAGTCACAATAAATATCCCTTTCTATCATCATAAGAGAAACTGGCTCAAGTCTTCACTAATTTTATGTCTCCTTTCCATTGATCTTGACACTCCAAATAAAACTATTTTATAGTGATAACTCTTATGTTCAACTTTTCTCTTAAACTGTAGGAATTACTAGAGCTGCTTCTCCTGTCCCTCCCACCCTCACCCCACCTTGTGAATGTGAATCTCTTGATTAATGCCATATATATGATTTCCTTGGCTTTTATGTTATTTCTATAGAAAATAAGTACTAACTTCCAATTATTTAGCATATATTTTTAATCTCAACAACACAAGTTTATAGTTTATGCCTATTTTTCAGGTAAAGAAAATGAGAATCAAAGATTAGAAGTTATTTACCTCAAATATATCACAAGTAAATTGCTGAAAGAGCATTGAAATTCAAATCTATACAATTCTAAAACATCGCTCCTTCTTCTATTTCACATTATATCATACCCCTGAGAAGATATATGATGTTACAGTTATTAGAAAAGGAGGGAAAACATTCAAATAAAAAACAGAGTTTTACAAGTGACCTAAGAAGTATGCCTTGTGATGTGAGGAATTACTCTTGTGACAATAGCCATACATAATTATCTTTATACCCACTTTAACTTGGGATATTTTTCTTCATCCTAGATCAGATGTTATCAACACTGCTAAATAAAAATTTGTACTATGATCATTGATTGATCATATTAACTTGACTGGGCCACAGGGTACCCAGACATTTGGTCAAAGATTTTTCCAGGGTATGTCTGTGAGGGTGTTTCTGGAAGAGATTAGCATTTGAATCCATAGACTGAGTAAAGCAGAGTTCTCTCCCACTGTGGGTGGGCCTTATCCAATCAGGTGAAGGCCTGAAGAACAAAATGGTTAGGTAGGAAGAAGCTTCACATACCTAACTGCTGAGGTAGGACATTAATCCTTTCCTGCCTTTCGAATCAAACTGAAAAAAGTTTTTCCTAGGTCTCCAGCCTGCCAACTTTTGGACTAGAATTTATATCACCAGCTGTCTTAGTTCTCTGGCCTTTGGATTTGGACTGGAACTGCACCATTGTCGGTCCTGGGTTTCCAGCTTGCCAACCACAGAGCTTGGAACCTCCATAATTTTGTGGACCAGTTCCTTATTTTATACACACACACACACACACACACACACACACACACACACACACACACACACACACATGACATATATACCAGTAGGTGTATATATATATATGAAACCAGTAGTCTTACAGCCATATATATAGCTTACTGTTCATTGGTTCTGTTTCTCTAGAGAACTCTAATACAACGGTTTTCTGCCTTTTCTTCAGACCTGTCTCCAATCCTCTCTTCTCTCTCTCCCTCCACGATACCTGCTCTCATTCTTAATATGTCTCCCTACTTGGAGCTATTTAGAGCACTGTTCACAAAATTACTGCTGGTAACTAATTTTTCCAATAATACTGCCAATTGCATCAAATTACTCCCCTCCACATGTGCATGCACACAAACACACATTCATATAGGCACACTACTCTTCATATAGTACATGAGATATCCAATGGAACTCTCTGTGATGATGTAAATATTCTTTATTTTGCTATGCAATAGCCACTGGCTGCATGTATTAGTAGGGGTTCTCCAGAGAAGCAGTACCAGTTAGAGAAAGAGAGAGGTATTGATATACTGTAAGGAGTTGACTTTTGTGATTATGGAGACAGAAATCACAAGGTCTGCAGATGACAAAGCCGGAGACCCAGCAGAGCTGATAGTAAAGTTGCAGTCCGAGTCTGAAAGCCTAATGTCCCAGCTCAAAGAGTAAGGCAGGAGAAAGATTGTTTCTTACTCAGCCTTTATTTAATTTTAGGTAACTTAAGTTTAAATAGCTATACATGTCTTATGGTTTACTCTGTTGGACAACACAGCAATGATTGACTCAGTCCTAGAAGGAGCTTTGATTGATGCTGTAGAATCATTCAGACTACTCCAGTGTCTAGCTTCCACAAGGGCTTAACACACCCCCTCTAGGAGAACCAAGCCACCATGTAAGGCAGCTAACCTGAGACTGACATGCTATGAGGAAGTATAAACTAACTACATAGAGAGATTGCACACAGAGAGTGGGAAGGGAGCTCCATCTGCTTCAGCTATCCCATTTGAAGAATCAGAAATGGAAATGAAGAAACCACAGTGTTCCTCTCACCTAGCCAGGCCCTCACATGACTTCGGCCAGAGCTGCAGTCTGACTGTAACCATATGAAAGACCCCAGGCAGAAAGCTCCAGTTAACCTCACAGAACCATGAGAGATAACAGATTGTTGTCTTCAGAAACTGACTTGGGGTGATTTGCAAAGTGATAGATTTGCAAACCTGAGTAGAAATGCCCTAAGGAATCAAGGTCCCCTATTTCTCTGGCTCCCCTAATTCCCATCTTCTATTCATTTCTGTTTCCCACTTCCTTGCTTTTGGTGGTGTAAACTTTTATGCTTAGAATGAATTTGCATTTGGGGAAAGTCAAATTATCTGGCCTTGAATTAACTTAGTTTTCTGACCTTATGTTTAAAAGGCCTTTGTAAATAAAGCTGTCTACTGTTTTCCTTCCCAATTTCAAATAGGCCAACTTGGATCAATGTTTGCCGTTCTCTTCATTACTAAAGGCCATAACTCATTAATACAGTTGAACACCTTGCATTTTTCAATCATCTTTTAAAAATCTAACCCCAGAAGGCATGAACTTATGCTTCGAGATCAACATTGTAACGTCTGCTTTGTTACCAGAAGAAAATAGATGGGAGGGGAAGGGGACCTGTATCATATCCAAATGATAACTACTGTGTAAATAGAGCTCTACATGTACACAAGTCAAGTCATTTAGTAAGGCCCTACATAAGGCATATATACAACTTAGAAAGCCTTGAACTTTATTCCTTAATAATGTACTTTTTATTCCAGTGAGCTCAGTATTTACAAAAATTCAAAAGTTTATTAAATATCATGAAAACAAATGTTTAGAACAAGGTTTACTATCTTATGATCTTAGAATTTTTGTGTACCTTTAGGGCACATTTTGGATCTGAAAATTTCACCAGGGCTGTACTACCTCAGTGATTTTTTTTTCATTCTAGTTCTAAGGACAGATGGAATTGGCTATGGATAACTCATATAATTTCAACCAGCAAAGCTCATGTAATGGAATTCCATCTGAGAAGAAAAATAACTTCCTTGTGTCAGAAGATCATGGACAGAAAATCTTAAGTGTATTGCAGAATTTCAGAGAACAGAATGTCTTTTATGATTTCAAAATCATCATGAAAGATGAAATAATCCCATGTCATCGTTGTGTGTTAGCAGCATGCAGTGACTTTTTCAGGTACTTTATTTTTCTATCTATGCCTCAGATTTTGTGAGATGGATAATTAAGTTATTTTTATAACTATACTCAGTTTTCCCCCAGAAGAGCAAACAACAGTAATTTTTAATTCTTAACAAAAAGCTAATTAGAACCAAATTAACTAATGATTTTTGAGTATGAAAATTTAGGACAACCTTTTTTACAGCTCATGTCTTCCCAGCCATCTATGTCTTCCCAAGCCATTTACACCTTCCCAATTTTGTGGACCATGAGCCCCCTGAAATATTCTGGGAAAAAAAATAGTTTTGATCTGGTACCAGTGTTGTTTGGGGGAATCCCTGCACTGTATCATTTAGAAAAAGAGGAAAGGACAGATTGATAAAAATAGAAGCAAAATTCAAAGAAAATGAGGAGTATGAGAAGAAGATTAACATTTCAGTCATGTCTTATGTCCACAGATGGTAGAGGGACTCTAACCCAGAGGATTTCAAGATTTCTCCTCTCTGTGGTAAAGATATTCCTATAATGAGGAAAAGTACTTCCAGAAGCATTTCTGTGGGGCACAAAACTTGCTGTGATTCTAGGAAGCCTTCTGAATATAATTTGGTTCCCCCTGTAGATCATCCTATAGGGAATATCCTAGTCGTGACACTGTAAGAATCCACTGTGAGGACAGTAGATTTCTGATTCTGCAATGTTAAGGGTCAGACTTATACCTTAGTACTGTGGTAAATGTATGAAGGTAATACCATTAATCAGAATGCCCTAAATCTGAATCCCAGCTCTACCAATTATTAAGACATCTGATCTTGGGCAAGTTCTAACTTCTTCAGGCCTCAGTTTCCCTATTTGTAAAAAATTAAGATAATAAAAATAAAATCTAATTCAGAGTCATTATGAGAATTAAATTATGTATATGTAATGTTAGCTGCAGTTACTGTTAGCTGCTGCTGCTATTTCCAAACCTAGAAAAAAAATAGAAATATCTGGTGTGAACATATAGCTTGATTTCCTTATAGTGTTTTTATATTAATAAAATAAAATACACATGTCAGTATTTGAATTAATAGTCCTCTACTCTTCATGTTGAAGTTATTCATTAATTAAATATATCAACACATCATTTTTTTCCATATTACTTTGCTCTGCCTACTCCTAGCTTTTTATAGATCTGCCTTAAGTTTTTTTAATTACTATTAAAACAATATATTTTTATATTTTCTACCTGTTTTGAAGTGCAAAAATGAGTTTTATAAAGACCTAGGTCCTTCATTATACATAGTATTTTACTCAATGACTATACAGTTTATGTAAAAATTGTACAAATATAGAATGGAAATTCTATAATTTACACTCTTGTATGATAAGTCCATCAATTCATAATATTTGTGTTACAATAAAACACACTGGAGTACTGGGAGGGAAAATATATAGAAAATAGCATGATAAATGCCCTTTATAATGATTTTGGAGACAAGATCAAAAAGGAATCACATATTTTGTATAACCACTTTATACAATGGTAAATCTGAGATGGATGTTAATTGGATACTTCAAAGATGAGTAGGATGAAATATAATAACATAATCTTACACTTGTCTTCTCAAAATGTAGAAGCTTATAGTCAGTTAAAAAATACTTAGGATCTGATACAAAACATTTTCTTACAGCCATGTTAATAACAGCTAATACTTTGCATTGATTAACTCATTTATTCCTTTTATAACTCAGTGAAATAGGTACTATGAGTATCCCCATTTTCAGATGAAGAATTTGAAGCACAATGACATTATGTCACCTCACCAGTGTCACACAGCTAGTAAGTGACAGGCTAGGTACCTACCCAAGCAGCCCAGTTCTAGAGGCCATGCTCTTAATATTACCCAAAAGTGACTATCAGTGTCATAATGATCTAATTTTTGCAGGTTAGTATTTCTAAGTTGATATGTATTGTTGAAATATTTTGCCTATATGACATGTATATTATTTTTGCAATTATACTTGTTTTCTTATTAGAAGTACTGAATGGCCTATTGGGAAGGCACTTTGTTATCCTACCTTTTCCTAAAGAGTATTCCGTATCTGGAAGGCCCCTCGTATTTTTAAGCCAGTTGTTAGTGCTGTTTTAGTAACCTGAGTTACCCTTTTGAGTTGATTCTAATAATTAAATGGGTTTTCCCCCAGAATAGTGCCCCCTAGGGGCACTGCTCACAAAGAGATCCTGGACAATACTGGCACAAATACAAACCAGTAATAAACCAGAACCAAAACCAAGTAAATCCTCAGTTGTAATGAACAGCTGGTAGTCCTTAGTTCTTTGTTAGAGTTCTTTCCACTTTAATCTCCATTTGCTGCTCCACTGACAACCACCATAAGGGGTTTAAAGTGTAAAAATGAATAACTGGATATAAGTTATAGACTGCAGTAGTTTTCTTACCAAAACCAATAGTGAAATACATCTTAGGGTCCTGTCCAACACTTCCAAATAATTGATATTTTTGCTTAAACTGAGCCAAAAAAGTTCCCAGTTCCTTAGATTCTATCAACTTTACCATGTGGGAATAAATTAGAATTTATTATGAAGAACTTTCAAACTGGTCTAACTGTTCAAATCTGGCAATCCAGCTCCATTTCTCAGTTGCTATTCTGTGAAAACTTATTTTTACTTTTCTTGGCTTGATATGGTACACTGTTATTGTTTAGTTTTATAAGATTACATTCCCTTTTTCCTAAAGTGCTGTATCAAATGTGTCTTTTTAGATATTTATTTAAGTTTGTCTTAGTTGGTGGATATCTCCACACAGATTTACTGGAGACATCTAATGTCTCACTGTATTCCACCTTTCACATGCTTCACTATTGCCAAATTGAAAATTAATTTGAAAGAGACGTTTAAATCCTATACCCAAAAGCATTACATACTTTAGGTAATTTGAGTTAACACATACAGAGTTGATACTAATTAACCTATAAAAAAAGAAATTCAGCCATTAGGGAGGTTTTAGACTAATTTTATGAATAATATATCAGAACACCAAATCAGTATACAAAGTTTGAATCTTTATATAGCCTTCTTTGGATTAGTTGCTATAACTCAGCTATAACATATATTTTATAATATGGTATATTATGTAATACATATCTTTTACAAATAATATGGTATATAACTATTCTAGATATTAAAATAACATATTAGAATGCTTTTAAAATATATTTTAGAAATTTATTTTAAATCAACCTAAGGTTAAAGGAAACTTCTTTAAGGTAATGTTGAAAATTATCATGGAATAGAATATTCCTGTTTACTTGTTCCTCTGTGTTCTTTATTTTTACAGGGCTATGTTTGAAGTAAACATGAAAGAAAGAGATGGTGGAAGTGTCACCATTACTAATTTGTCCTCCAAAGCAGTAAAAGCCTTTCTTGATTATGCCTATACTGGAAAAACAAAGATAACAGATGATAATGTGGAAATGTTCTTCCAGTTGTCATCATTTCTTCAAGTTTCATTCCTATCCAAAGCTTGCAGTGACTTTTTAATAAAAAGTATTAATCTTGTCAATTGTTTACAGTTATTATCTATATCAGATAGCTATGGCTCTACCCGTTTGTTTGATCATGCATTATACTTTGTACAACATCACTTTTTTTTATTATTTAAGTCCAGTGATTTCTTAGAGATGAATTTTGGAGTACTGCAAAAATGTCTGGAATCAGATGAATTAAATGTTCCTGAAGAAGAAACTGTACTGAAAGTTGTCCTTAGTTGGACTAAACATAATTTAGAATCAAGGCAAAAACATCTGCCTTATTTGATTAAAAAAGTAAGATTACATCAGTTATCTGAGGAGACACTTCAAGACTGTCTGCTCAATGAAGAGTGTTTGCTCAAAAACACAAACTGTTTTGACATAATCATGGATGCAATTACGTGTGTGCAAGGTTCTGGTGGACTTTTCCCTGATGCTCGACCATCCACAACCGAAAAATACATATTTGTTCACAAAACTGAGGAAAATGGAGAAAATCAATATACATTTTGCTATAATATTAAAACTGATTCGTGGAAAATACTGCCACAATCACACTTGCTTGATTTGCCAGGATCTAGTCTATCTAGTTATGGAGAGAAAATATTCTTGACAGGTGGCTGCAAAGGGCCATGCTGTAGAACAGTTCGGCTGCATATTGCAGAGTCATATCATGATGCCACTGATCAGACCTGGTGCTACTGTCCATTCAAAAATGATTTTTTCCTGGTATCACCTATGAAAACACCAAGAACCATGCATACATCGATTATGGCTCTCAATAGATTATTTGTTATAGGTGGAAAGACTAGAGGGTCGCAGGACATTAGAAGTCTCTTAGATGTTGAATCTTACAACCCTCTTTCCAAAGAATGGTTTTCGGTTAGTCCATTACCCAGGGGCATATATTATCCTGAAGCAAGTGCATGCCAAAATGTCATTTATGTTCTTGGATCAGAGGTAGAGATTACGGATGCCTTTAATCCATCCCTTGATTGCTTTTTTAAGTACAATGCTACAACTGACCAGTGGTCTGAACTGGTAGCAGAGTTTGGGCAGTTTTTTCATGCAACACTAATTAAAGCTGTCCCAGTAAATTGCACACTGTATATATGTGACCTCTCCACCTATAAGGTTTATAGTTTTTGTCCAGATACTTGTGTATGGAAGGGTGAAGGATCTTTTGAATGTGCAGGCTTTAATGCAGGTGCAGTTGGAATTGAGGATAAAATTTATATATTAGGTGGTGATTATGCCCCAGATGAAATCACAGATGAAGTGCAGGTCTACCACAGCAGCAGGTCTGAGTGGGAAGAAGTTTCACCAATGCCAAAAGCCTTAACTGAATTTTACTGCCAAGCGATTCAGTTTAATAAATACAGGGATCCATGGTTTTCTAGTCATTTCTAAAAGTAATAGACTGTGATTAGACATTCTAAAGCTATTCCAGTTCTAGAAATCTACAGTGAATTTGTTAACCTTAATAGTTGGTTAAAAAGGTCTATTCATCTTAATAAAATAAAATGTACCTTCTGTTAGAGATTACTCTGAATGTATACTATATATGAATTAGCAGTTGCCAGAAACATAAAGTACAAAATACATTTTACCAAAAATTATATTAAGTATAAGTTAATCTTTGAGAATCCAAAATACATACTATTTTCATATGTAAATGGTGATGAGTTTTGATGTTTTGATTTTTAAAGTGCTTTATCCACAAAAGACTAGTAAAAACAAAATTCACAGATTCGTACTATTTAGATGGGAAAAATCTCAAAGTAGTAAAAATGAATTATTATTTACACATCATAGTATATGGAGTGAAAAATACATTTTTAAAAAGAAATGAGAATCCTACCTTGTTACTACAAGTGTAAGAGTTGTTGAATTCCTATCCTTTCTGATCATTGATTGGCTCCCTTCAAGCCCTTTTCTTTCTCCATTTTTTTTTTGGCAAAAATTTTTCTAAAATGCAGTGTATTTCCCTGGCTTTCTAAACTATATGCTAAACATAGCTTAACTTTTTTTTTATGATTCAAGTCTTCATTAAGAACATAATGTACCATGTTATAGTGTCATAATGCTATCAGCAGTTACTGAAATGTTTTTAAAATTGCTGATTCTATTACTTTTCAGTGTAGGCTGGTTTCAACTTCTAGCAGTGTCATTTCCCTCCTCTCGTTTTCTGGCTCAAGCACACTAAATTAACATTCTTGATTTCATTACTGGTCTTAAGTTATACTTGACTTGAGTTTATCTTAACATGTAACCCACTGGGTGAAGTTCTTGAATTCTGGGATGGTAGTCCTTAACATACTTTTTCTGTGTCATTGTCAGATTCCAGTATAATTGAGGATGTAGAAAATCTGACCTCCAGATAAGTGAATCATTACTGTGCATTTCTTAAGCCTTTAGATGTCCAAATTTGAGTTGCAATAAGAAATTTCAGTGTTTAAATTAGTACCATATCAGTTTTCTGTGATGATATATACCAACTGTAAAGCACTGGGTTGGTTTACTACTTCAGTAAATTATATAGTGAATTATATTGTAAATTTTAAAAATGACTGGGCTTTCGGTATTAATGGAATTTGAATCTGCATCTGTTTAGATGTTTAATTATCTTTAGCCCAAACAATGAAAGGATTTTCATCATCCTTGTTCTCAGCTAGGATGATTCTGTCTGGCAAGAAGATATGTTTCTTTTATCAGTTAAGATACAAGCATTTTAGGTTTTAAGACCCTTGATTTATATCTCAGGTAATGGACAGATTGGATTTCTCCAAAATTAACTGTAGTTTCCCACATACTGTAATAAATGTACATATTCTTTGGAGATGCATTCTTAAGTGGAAATATGCCTAAATAAAAGGTCCTTTTATTTTACCATATATGTTTATGTAAACATAAGGTTTGAGTATATTTTTCAAAACTGAACAGGATATTGGATGATATTACCATGCAATTCCAAAATCAGGGACTGCCCCTAGACAGTTGCATAAAAAGTATTCTGTAGAATTGGTAGCCTTCCTTCCTACCTATCTTAGTTGATTGTCCTTTGCCTTTGCATTTCTGTGTGTGTGTGTGTGTGTGTGTGTAAGAAAAAAAATTCATTGAAGGCTTTTGTGTGTGTATATGTGACTTTGAAAACATTTGAGAAAGACCATTAACAGTGAGTGACCTATATGTGGATTTACTGAACTGTTAGTTTTAGCATTATATAACTAATCAAAATGTTTAAAATAAATATTGCTTTGATCACTGACTCTAGGAATTGTTCATCTCTTCCAGAAAGAAGACAGTAAATTAAAATAGAATCTCTTCTTGATCTTGTTTCACTATTACATCATCTTGACTCCCACCATCCTTCTCACTGGCAGCTGATTTATGGTAATGTCTCTAGAAATACCCTTGCTATCAAGACTAGGAGGCTCCCTCTGCATTTGATTTAATACACTTTCTAATATATAAGACAGTCTGCCTTTAATCATTTTCACTTATTGCCACCCCTTTACATCTGCCCGAGTGCTCATCATCACTTATAATTGCACTAAATTACTGTCTAATCATAAAACCCCAAATTCTTCCTGTTCACTGTTATTTTTCCTTTGCACAGCAATCTATGCTGAGCTTGATTCTGTTAATAACTCATCTTGTTCTAATTTTGCATCTTAGAGCACTTTCAATCTATTTACTCTACTGAGAAATGGTTCTGTAAGTTTAAAATCCTCAAGGAGCCCAAACATGTACACACATGATCAATAACTGAACTGGTTCTCTCGTTCTGATCTTGCCAGTCACTGGTTTCACTGTCAAAGAACCATATATATCACTTGGCTTCACCCTCCATTCTGGATGTCTGACAGTGATTTCTCAAGTCTATTTCCAGTAACCCCAGAAGAAGCTGTTTTCTCTGCTTAGGTGAGAGGAACTAATATCCCTTTATCTATAACCTGCTCCATTCATCTGCTTTCCTTTCATTATCATCCTTCAGCCAGTGCTACAGTGTGAGTCAAAATAATTGTGCTCATTATCCATACTGCTTTCATTATTGTGGAAAAATCCTGTTTAACATTTCTAAATCCTTTATCATTTGCCTTGCGCCACTGCATTTGGACTAGGCACACAAGATTCTGATATTGTATTAGTATTGTATTTTAAAAGTGAAAGTAGGTATATGGCATTATTGAATATAAAAAAGGTTAAATGCAACATTTATATGAGATTAATTCAAAGTTAATGGACATTCCTAGAACTATCTTCAAATTTAATTTAAAATGTAGAGCACCTTTTCATCTATTGCCTGTGAGATGGAGTAGTATGAAGAATGTCTGCATATTCAAAATGAACTACATTCCTATAACAGCTCTGGTTTGGGGAGGGGAACAGGTCTTCATCACAGCAGTATCCATTACATGCTGTCCTTGAAAGCTAGGTTGTTATTTGAGAATGACCACATCGTGCAACATGATTTCATTTTCCCAGATAGGAAGAAAAGCAACTGAATATGTGTTCAACATTCCTAGCTCAAACTAAACAACTTGAAAATTAGAGTCAAGTACAGGGGAAGCACCTGTACATTTTGAGATTTGGGAGCAATAAATACAGTGCTTAAATACATTGTTAAACATACAGTGTTACTTTTAAATCATTCTCAGTTTTAACTGGGTCCATTGGTTGGAAACTTACATTTAGAACTGAGTGTTCACATTCAAAATGTACACACTCAAGAATACCTTACAAAGGGCAACTCTGGATGGCAACCTAAAAACAAAAGCAGGAATATGCAGAGAAGTAGATTTCTTTCAATTTAAGAAACAATTTTAACTCCACTTTATAAAGCCATATTTAGGATAAGACTAGTTATCAAAGACTGTGCATGTGGCGGATGATTAGCCCAATAAATTCCTACACAGGAGCGCACAACCAAAGATTTCTACATTCTACTTACACACTTTGATCTTAAAAGTTTTCTGACATGACTAATTGCTTCCTAATCCAATGTAGCATTTTAGGCATCCTGAGTAACTTGATTTCAATGGTTCTGCATACTCAAGATTTCAGTAGGAGTCAAGTCTTAAAACTACATCATTTTAAGACCATTATTATTGAAAGGCATTTGTTTTTTGCCTGCCTGCTTTTCCTTCCTTTGCTTTCCTTTTTCCTCCCCTTCCCTCTTCCCTTCGCTCTTTCCTTCCCTCCTTCCATCCTTCCCTCCCTTCCTTCCTTTTCCTTCCTTCTTCCTCTCCCCTTTTCCCTCTCTCTTTCTTTCTTATTACTCAGGAAAAAGTCTGTAAATGGTGCTGACATTTATAGTGAGCTGCTAATAGGGATTTTTCCTTCTGTCTGCCACAGGCATACATTGTTTTATAATAATAAAAACTGAAAAACCAGTACCTAAAATTTTCTCCTGAGTTATTTTTCTTATTTCACTGTAAATGTAGCTATATAGCCAACTGTTGTGATTCTAAAGATTGTGTAACTTAAAAGAATATATCTTAAAAATCTAGGTGTGTTTATAAATAAATAATATTTGATGACACTGTGATGCTTAATCAGATTCAATGTCTAAATAGGGAATATAATCACAGGATACCACCTCACAGTTATCAAAAGATAACTCTTCTCAATCATAGTCTTATATTCAAACTTGAAAATAACCTCAGAATCTAATACAGCTTCTAACCTAGTCTAAAAAGCCCCTTTAAATTCTGGAACACCTTGACATGATTCTTCTCAATTTCTAATTCAGTTCTTTCAGGGGTAAAGAACTTACTACCTCCATTTTTTAACAGTTCTATTAGAAAGTTCTTCCTAATATTGAAAGCAGCTCTGCCTCCATCTATAGTGACGTCCAGTCCTTGGTCTGAGGTTGCTGTCTCCACCAGGATTTGAAACTGATACGTCTTTCATTCCTCTAAAATCAAGGCCTAATCTTCCTTCTTGTTCAAATGCTTATTAGCACATTAAAACCTGCCACAATGGCCAGGGTTATATTCCCTCTCTTGTACAGTTGCCTCAGAAAATGTGTCCCTAGCTCTTTCGCCTTTTGGTGAGTTAAGCCAGACCAGTATTGGAGAATCTTGAAAATTCAGGTATTTTATTCCCTTAACCAGTTCTCTAGCTCTTAGAAATGCAGTTTGGGCTAGAGACTTGCTGTGTTTCTCTCCTTCTGCCCCACCCCCCACAATCAACATAACCCCAAACACACATTTTCTGGGAGAGGAATTCTAAAGCCAAATTTTAGTAAGTCTTTCAATAATTTGTCTTTGGATATGGTTTTCATAATTTTAGAAGTACTCCTTAAAAAGACCCTAAGAAGTATTCAAAAAATAGAAACCAAAACAGTTACATCCTTGGTGTTTAATGAGAGGGTAATCTCACAAATCAGTAAAGACCAGCCTTATGGTAATCAAGATCTAAATGTGGAGATTCATCTGCACGTATTAGTCCAGTTGGATAGGGCATGATTATTTCCATAAAACAGTGCCATTACTAAATAACTATAATCAGGTAGCTTTATGTATTTCATTAAATTTAACAGCATTGCTAATCATAACTAGCTAAACAAATTATGCTTTTGGTTTGGAGGGTAAGGAGGAGGATAGAATAACTCAAGAGTACAGACCTCTGTGTGTGACAAATATTTGTGATGTAAATATTTGGTCTAAATATTTCTTTACATGGTTTGTTTCTTATTTAATTGGAAGTTCTTAGGAATAGGGACATGTTCATCATTTCTCGGTCTAGCAATTAGCACAGTGCCTATATATAATAAGGCATGTAATAAACTGATACTCTATTGAGCCAACATGCGAAGCAAAATATATTTATTATAGTTATATTGCTACTGAATGTGTTCCATATAACTGTATATTTTGCAACTTATTTTCATGTACAAAGGAAATTTTGATTTATGTTAGGATTTTACATTTTGGAATGCTCTCATTGTTCTTAGGTTTATCTGTTAATGTATGTATTAATTTTCTGTAATTGGTATCATTTCATGTTCAAAGTCACTGAGAAAATTTTGGTTAGGTCGTTTATACAACTTCAGTCTTTTTGGTGTATAGAAAATAATGAAGCAATTTTTTTTTGAGAGTGAAATTGTATTATATGGTGCACTGCCCACCTTTGGAGAACATGTATAGTTGATTGTTGTATAGTGTATGTATAGCTGGTTCTTAAAAGTGAAATAACAGATTCAAAGTCATTTATCTACCTATTTTTTTAATGCTTTAGGGATTATTTTTTCTCAGTGAATTTTAATTAACTAATTCTGTTTTTCCTTTCAAAGGCAATAATAGATAAGACAATAATGGCAATTTTCATCAGTAGATATGCAACCTCCAACTTCTACAGGAGCATAAAAGCTTTCGTGACTTTCACCCCACTTGGGGGGAAACTGCTCAAAGCCACTTACACTGCATATACAAGCAAATTACTTCATATTCTTATTAGTGGAATGTGGGCTTCTGCCATATGCTATGAAAAATAAAATCACTTTTGCAGGTTCATGTTAACTATATTAACATGTAGTAAAACTTCAATAAAATTATTAATTTATTAAAATGTATCTCAGCAAACAATACATATTCTGTTTGTATTTATTGTTATTAAAAGTAAAGGAAGTAGATAAAGGTGGATGCTAAGCCTCTCATTTTCTTGCCACCCCATTCCCCAGATGCCCTGAATGGCTCTGATGAATCTCAGCATTTCTGCAAGTGTGATGGTGAAAGTGGGGGGCTGTCAGAAGCTTTTGTAGCTGTGATGACATGTCCTATAATATAGACTTCAAGGTGGACATCCTGGTCTGAAAGAATAGAATACCAGCTAAACTTCAGGTGAGCCACAAGTGGCAAGAGACCAATGGGCCCTGACTAAGAAAGAACAGAACAAATGTCCATGAGCCACAAGTGACAGCAGCAGAAGCCAGTTGAATGTACAGGGCAAGGCACTGGCCAACCCAGCTTCACTGGACACCAGGCACACAAGACCAGCTGAGTCAGGGACCATAAGCTTAGAATAGGATGAGGGCCTCTGGAAAAAGCAAGGCAGGATAGTTACAGTCAGAGCAATGTAACTACATGCAAGGAAACCCCCTACCAAAACTCTGTTGAACATTACGCTCTAGAGTCATTCTTCAGTGAGATCAGTTAATATTCCCCAGATAAAGAAAAGTAGCACATGTTTTTATTACACTAATCATTTGTAATCATGTGTAAGATTCACCTTAGCATGCTGAAGGCCCAGGCCTATGTGCTGTCTTTCCTCCTCCAGATCTGATGAGGTGAGTTTGCAAACTGGGCAACTAATTGAGCATGCAGACCCAGCTGTAAACAGCATAGTAAAAGGCAGGAAGGATTCCACCACCTTAAAGATAAGACTGCATTTTAACACCCAGGAAGTTTAATAAGTAAGAATCTTAACTTACTCTTTAGCAAACAGATAATACCTCAGCCCACCTTGGGGGTTGGGCAGGCAACCTTTTGATATGCTCCTAGACTACCACATCAGTAACCCAGGGAGAAATCAGAGCAGTAAATTTCTTGTGTTAATTTTTAGTATTCAGGGACCACTTAACAAGTCCACACCCCTAAGCCTTTTATCGGGTTTCCCCAAATCCTCAACTGCCTATAAATCCCCTAGACAACACACCACCCCGGGCTCTCTTGTCCCCTTCTGGCATGAGCCAGGAGCTCTGTCTGTCCTCTCACTGTATCGCTCAATGAAAGTCTCCCTGGCTCTCCTACCTTGACTGTTTGCTAAGTTCATTCTTTGACTCCGCAAACAAGAACCCCAGCATCACAGCTAACTGCCTCCTAACTGTCTAAACCTCCTTTCTGAATCATGTCCTATGCCCACAAGCTTGCTCAGGGGTAGAGCTAATGAAGGGGCCCAAAGTCTGAGAGACTAAGCAGTACCACGAGAAAACTTTTTAAATCTCTACATTGGACAGATCTCTCAGTTCCAGTTCCTGTGATTTTTCCTCTTCTGGAAAGGCCCATTTTCTATCATATTTTCTAGTTTTCCTACGTTAAGGAGTTGTGATTTACTAAATGACCTTGGCTCCCCAGTAATTCTTCTAGACTACTGCCCAGGTTGAAACAGAGTCCCTTTTTGGAAACCCAAACCTTGAAAAATCAACTCTGTCCCTATCCCATATGACTGCATAAGGACAGTTTCCTTCTCTGAATTTCCTATGCCCTCTGGTGCTTTTTCCTTAATCCTTGGTCCAAACTCACTTATCCAGACTTCTTCCCTTGTAATTACCTCTAATTCTCTCTGTGCCTCCAGCCTTCTGAAGTTCATTTTGCCCTCAAACACTGACTCATCCCCTTCTCATTAATCTTCCTAGACAGGAGCCTTCAGCAGAGTTTATTAAACATGTGAAGATACTGTGGGAACTGGACTGTTACCAGGTTAGTGGGGATGATCTCCTCAAATCAGAGGTCTCCTGTCTTGGTCAGTATTTTACTACTTGCTGGCCCCCAGTGAAGGTTTCCACTTTAGTCATTAAAATAGAATGGTTAACAATTTCAGTCTGATGCACTGGTATTTGAAATTCTTTTCCTAAATTCTTAATCTGCCTGAATTTGCCCCTTTCCCCAAATGTAGCCACTCACATGACAAAATTTAACCTCCATACAGAAAATAATTTGAAAAGAGCATGTAAACTAGCAGTTTGTCCCCTTTCTGATCACTAAGAGTTACTTAAAATTGTGCTACAGGCTATATGCATTTACAAGGTAAATTACAAAGTATGTTTAGTCAAAAAATATTTGTAACAATTTAGCCAATATGCAGATTTTGATTTATGTGTATATTTTCCAGAAAAAAATTAAAATCCTTTAAAAAAGCTGTTCACTATGAATGTAATTTTAAAATAATGTTTATAAAATGTTTTGAGTTTGTTAAAACTACAAAATACTGATATTTTAAGCAATGTGGAACTAAACCAATCTACCTAATAGAAATTAATTAACACTGTAGACTATATTTTAAGATGCTTTTATAAAACCTGTGTTTTCAGGATAAAGTCTCTTTCCACTTATTAAATTTTTCAGTTTTAAACACTTCCATAAAGCTTAATAAAACTAAATATAGCAAACTTAATATTCATAAAAAACTTTAAGAATCTGTGGGAGCTATCTTAAAATAGAATTTAGGCGTAAATACTAAACAGATCATTCTAGTATGTATAGTGTTAGGTTTCACTGCACCTGATAAATATTTCTGCATTTTCTCCAAGTTCAAGGCTTGTTTAACCTGATTTTGCTCTAGTGGTAATTAATTAATCTTCCATGGGAAGTTAATTACAATTCCCTAACCCTGACCAAAATATACACTATAAAATGTGTTTAAATTTTTTAATCAAGAAAAGCCTTTCCCTATGGGCTTTTTCAGATTCAAAAATCCAATCAGCTTTAATGTTTCCTTGTTAGAGATTAACCACCCTTTTATTTTATGAAACATTAATTGTAACTCAAACTATTTATAGCTCTTTTTTAAACAAGTCAATAAATTTGATGTTCTTTTGCAAACAGTATTCACCTTGTATCTATTCCTGAAGAAGTAAAATATTGCCACAGTAGTATTCATTTAAATACAGTTCACATTTCTCTTACAAGCATACATTAATATGCATTTGTTTCTAAGAATTTTTACAAATTATTCAGTAGTTTAAATCATCTAAAATCTTCTATTGATAAGTGAATTACTGAACCTCTAACAAATAGTTTTTGTAATGGGATGTCTACCAGGAATATATAGTATTAGACAGTGTTCTTCAAAAGTTGCTTCAAAAAACAAATTATCTGGGGTGCCTCTTAAAAATAAGGAATCCAGAACCCCACTCTTGGATATTTTGATTTCCTAAGTTCTAGATTCACATACTGAGAACTCTTACTTTTAGTGAGCATTGCAAATAATTCCTATTAAAAGATAAATTGAGGTAGAGGGTGAGATCTCAGCTCTGAAGTCAGACAGGCCTGGGTTTGAATCTCACTCCCACCATAGTAGTTTAAAAGTAAACTTTTTAAGCTTGGGTAAATTACTTGAACATTCTGCATGACAGTTCCTTTATCAGTAAAATGGTATAATAGTTGTACCTCCCACAAAATGTGCTGTGAAAATTAAATCAAATAATGCATATGACCTGCTTGGCATAGGGGCTTGGCAATGGGAAATATCCAATAAATGTCTCTGTCTCCTTGTCTTTTTTCTTGATTTCATCAGAAGCACTTTTCCCCTAATTCTCCAACATGCTACCACAGTCTTACATTCTACAATTTAAAAATAAATTTTAAATCTGAAAAGTACCCAATTCTACCATGGTAGAGGGAATTAATGGTACAAAGTAAAACTTTGTCTAATACACAGTTTAGCTTTGACTTGGCCCTAAACAATCCCTCTTAGGTTCAACCATGAGTTTCTCATTTATTAATTTATTCATTCAACAACCATTTCTTGAGCTTCTAATGTGTGTCATCATTATTCTAAGTTTGAAGCTATAATAGCAAGAAAATCCGATGAGTTCCCTGTTCCTGAGCTCACAAGCATCCTGCTGGTTCTGCCAGATGTGATTTTGTTTCACCTCTGTTGTTAACACTTTTAATTTGGCCCCATTTTTGTTTTCCACTCCGCTTCTCTCTATCAGGGCTTTGAATCTTAGCAAGTTCTCTGGCTTACACATTTGCCTTTCCCAAATGAGAATTCCCTTTTGCTCCTTGACCTGTAGCTCTCAAGTTGAACCATAGCTCCTGTGGCTAATGCCAGATAGAGAATGAAGCCCATTTCTCCTGCACACACGTGAGCAGAGGTGTCAGACAACCAGATCATTGAACCCTAGAGCAGTCATAAAATGGGTGAGAGCACTTAGCAGTCTAGAAGGAGTTTCAAATCTATTTTCACAAACTTCATGCCAAAAAATGTGTAAATCTTTGAATGAACAAAATTCAAAAATTTTTTTCTCAATGATCTCCTACCTTGCTTGGTATATGTAGCCAGCCATACAAAATGTGTCATGTTGGCAAACTCTCATACATTATGTAGAATACTACTTTAATATTTTTTCACTTGGTAAATAGAGTGAGATTACCATTTCTCATCTGTTCCTCAAGCATTCATCCTCACCAAAATAACACAGACTTAAGAAAATGTGCAGAAGTCAGCTTATCAGTATTTGGAGATATAAAATGAGAATGATTAGTCAAGAAAAATTCCATTTATGTCTAATGATCCCTCAATAATTTAAGAACCCTCCTTGATCTTGCACATGTAATTAATGCAGCATCGGAGGAGTAAAAGAAAGCAGAGGCAAGTAGTGAAATTCCTCATGACCAGGAATGTCTAACAAGGCACAATCAGGACCTCTGTAGAAAGGGGAGAAACCAGTGATTCTGTAAGAGGAATTAGATCAACAGCTGCTGTAAACTGTCATTCCTCAACCCTGTTCAGCCAACATCTCTGGCTTCAAGTGGGCTACAAGTGTACATACGATCAGGAGTTGTGACAATCTATGTCTCTGAGAAAAAAATGAAAAAAAAAAACATCTATGGGGAGTAGGAGGGATCTGGACGTACAGGTTCGTTGAAACCAAAGAATCAAGACACTCAAATCCAGTGGC